GTATCTTACCACCAATATTTTTGTGCCTTTTTCTTTTCAAATTGCTCTGACTAGGGCATTCCAGCATCTCATATGTGTCACAGAAGAGGGATTGTTGCAGATGCCGGATAATCGCTCAAAACTATTGTCACCGTTTAAAATGTGGTTCCTGCAGTGCTGTCTTCCGGACGTATATTTTGTTAAGGTCAGTAGCTTTAGTTTATTTTTGCATCTTCACAGCTTTAGGCCAATTTGACTTTTGTACACTGCTAACGCTTGTTTATTGTGCAGATGTTGCATCAAAGCGAAAATAATAAAGAAAGCAGCCAACCTGCGATTAGCTCGGACCTGAACCGCTGAACTCATGCACTATTAGCTGAGTGGGATTTTTTTCAAGCTGTTCTTGTTGCAACTTCTATAATTTCCAGATCAGCTCAGTAGGAAACTGACTTGTTTGTTGCATTACAGAGAGAAGGTGCCGTGCAGAAATGGACCTCACTCTATTCAAGTTTTGAACATGGCATAAGTGCAACCAAGTTTGATTTCCCACTGTTTTTATTTCAATCAAAAACGCTGTAACGGGTTCATATCTGTACGTGTATTAGTGCATGTATGTGCATAGCTATGCATACATTGCTAGAATCCAGTCATCGCAGAAATACCTAAAAATAGCCGACCCTGAAATGCCTAACAGTTTACCGTATCTTTATTTCAGATTTGAACAGCTTGTATTCTGTTATCGTGGCCCAACAGTCACTGTAATTGAAATGGAAGATTCATCGATCATTGTGCTGGCCGTGGACCAAGAATGGAGGTTACTTTTTGTACATTTTGGTTATTTTTTTCTTTTACTTTAAAGAGTGAAGGGACTGTAACTGTGAGATCGAAGGAAGGAGCATCAAGGTTACAAAAAAAGTGTCCAGCAGTTGATAAAAATTTCCGTCTCGAAATCGTAACTGGGTTAAGATCTTCGTCAAAGGTGCGCTTCTCGAAGTTTCAAAATGATATGTGATAATGAAGCATGA